CCTTTGGTGGGAAGGTCACAGCGTTCCATGCGCCTTCAGCGTTGAGGCACGCCGGCCACATGACCACGGAGACGTCTTCGGGCAGCGCTGGCTCTTCGGCTTTGAAACAGAGATGAGCACCGCCCCCTAGAGTCAGAAACAACTAGCACATATGTGCAAGGGGAACCTTTACCTTTACCCAGTGGGTGAAGAGCTGGTATACTAGTAAATTTCAGTTTTAGGATTTAAAAAAAAAGAATGTCCAATTGCAGCTATTATTTTATCAGAGATGGTTCAGTAAAGCAAAAGGAAAACAGAGAGTCTATTCTACTGAGGTGGCGCAGTGGTTAGAGTGCAGTACTGCAAGCTACTTCAGCTGACTGCCAGCTGCAGTTTGGCAGTTCAAATCTCACCGGCTCAAGGTTGACTCAGTTTTCCATCCTTCCGAGATAGGTACAATGAGGACCCAGATTGTTTGGGGTGGGGGAGGGCAATACGCTGACTCTGTAAACCGCTTAGAAGGAGCTGTAAAGCACTGTGAAGCAGTATTTAAGTGTAAGTGCCCTTCCTTCCTTCCTTCCTTCCTTCCTGCCTTCCTTCCTGCCTTCCTTTCCTCCTTTCCCAGTGGTTAAAATGCAGTATTGTGGGCTGACTCTGCCCAGTACCAGCAGTTCAATCCTGACCAACTGCCTGAAGGTTAACTCAGCCTTCCATCCTTCCGAGGTGGATAAAATTAGGACCCAGATTGTTGGGGACAAGAGGCTGACCCTGTCAACCGCTTAGAGAGGGCTGTAAAAGCACTATGAAGTGGTATATAAATCTAAGTGCTATTGCTATCCAGAATGACCATTTACTAGGTGTTTATGGGATAAAAATCACCTTTGGGACAATTGACTAAGGTTTGTGGCAAATCCAACGTAAATACATAGGATTTCTTGATGCGCCCAGAAGCATCTGTGGTGCATCCTCTAATCGAGAACCTAAAGGGCCAATGTGTGCGTCTTTTTAACAGTAACGGGGGCTA